GCAAGCAGCAGCAGAAGGCAAAGGCCACCTCTCCTGGTTAGAAAACGTTTCTCAGTCTTTTTTCAGCTAGTGGCTTTCCAGTAAAGTAGCGTTGTTTCAGCAGCACCAGGCACTCTCCAAACCCAAATATTCCCTGAAGAGAGGCAAAAGATTTATTTTAGTTAGCGTAATCATGAGAGCTAGACTGCCCACACCCATCCTCCCCCCATGAGCTCCCGAGGTATCACAAATTCCTTTGATCCTGTTGTAACCCCGAAGCACAAGGCGACCTACTTTCTTCACCACTGTTGGTAACCGAGCTAGAAGAGACTCTTGAAGAGTTCCTGCAGGAATGATTTCCCTTCTCCTAGCTGGATACGGGACTGTTTAGCTGAACAGCTGCAAGATGGAAAGCCAGCCTCATCAAGACGAAGAGCAAAGAGGGCACCATCGTGCCTTTCATCCCACGGCACCAGCTCTATTCCTATGCCACATTCTCAGTGCTTCCCTCAGATGAACAAATTATACAGGGACCTAAAATAGAAATTGATGAGCAGAAATTCCATCAGTGTCTGCCTCATGGTAGCAGAGATCATTTCCAAACACAGAGAGGATTAAACTATGACAAAGATGACAAGACTGACTGATAAAGCACAGGACCGTCTCCTGCAGGGAGCCGCATTCGAAGCCTGTTATATGAAAAAATGCAACAGCTCAGTGGTTGCATCTTAGATGTTGACCAGTTCAAAAGGAACAGATTTGTTTGTTCCAGAGCACGCAAGACTTCAACTTGGCTCCAACTCACAAAGATATGTTACAAGAGGCTCAGGGAACATGCTCTCAAAGGGGGTCTTGCCAAAATTAAATTGATGGTAGAGATGGGGCTTTTATGCTACTATGTATTCGTTCATTTTACTCAAAAGAAATCAGCAGGATAGTCTTGTTGCCACAGAGCAAGCATTAGTCACTGCACAAGAGGAGGACTCAAGTGCAGCGGGTGTTATAGGGCTTTTGGTTTGTTGGTGGGTTTGGGGTTTTTTTTTAATCCCTGATCCTTACAGAGATATTAACTGTTAGGTAACGTGTCAAACTTAGCTATGAGCAGATTTGTGACGCTAAACATCGTGTCATTTCCCCCATCTTCACATTTAAGCACCTTTGACTCAGCTATTTCAGATACTTTTTGCATGTTAATTCAAATCAAGATGTTTTTCAGGATAGACACCATCTCTTACTGGGTGGTCGTGCAGCACCCAGCACAGGTAATGCTGATGCCAGCAAGTCAGATCAGAGCTGTTTGTGGACAGAGATCAAGGAGCAGAACATCAGAGTACTGCAGGCAGAATCAGATATCTTGTCAAAGGTGTACCGAGGAGTCCCCAATACCGAGAGGTTAGTCATCCATTAATAAGTTCTTAATTATATCCATTAATAAGTTCTCCATAAACCACAAGGAAGAAAATTGCATCCATATGAATACATAAGTAGGAACTAGCTTTTATATACACTAGAATGAGAATTTTGAGAGACCGTCAGAGAGGTTCAAGGACAGTCAGGTATGCGATGAGGCTGGAAGGGAGGTGAGATGCAACTGCTGGTGGCTGGAAAGCAATGGCACGGCAGCCACCACCATGCTTTGCTCCAAAAGGCTGGTCTGCCAGCCACCCGCAGCTATGCGGATTTAATGCGGCTCGTTTCCAAACGATGGAAACACCTCTACAACAGGATTAATGCACACTGCGAGGACATAGCAGCTATAAGCCTGCTCCCAAAAAACACTGATTCTGCTAATTAAAAAACCCCAAATTCCATTATCCCAGTTTACCTGAAGTCAAAGGAATCTCAAACACAGCACCAGCTGGTAGAACAACAGGTCCTAGCTCAACCACATTCCCCAAGTGCTACTGCCCACTCTGAAGGTGGAAGAAGTAAAACATTTACTGTTGTCCAGCTCAGGAGCACCTTACTGCTTCTTCAAAACGGAAACAAACCAATGAAGAACCCAACCGCTAGTCATGCTTTCATAACACCACGTCTTTGATCTAGCAAACAAGTTTGCAAGACAGCACACACCCCATGTGAGTCAGAGCTTCTGTAGGTGGGAGGCCCTTCTACGCTATCCGCTCATTAAAAGCGAGAAAAGCAACCTAATGGTCCACACCATTATGCAAGACGCAGTCCTGATGAAGTCCAAAAAAAGTTTGAAGATGGCAGCATCCAAACAAAAGACTTACCAGGATTTAGACTTGGGAAAACAGCCTTTGGGTAAAGGAAAAGGGCTCGGCGGGGTGGAAGGGGCACGAAGGCGAGACAGGCACCTCAGAATCCCAACCTAAATACGCAGCTGTAATACAGCATTCTTTTAGAAAGTTCTTTCATTTCTCCTTAAATGTAGAACAACAACAAAGGAAAACAAACAAACCAAAACCCAACAACCACCCAGTCCAAAGCAAGTGTCAATGAAGAGATTGTGTTATAAAGCTATCACAATTTCAGACAGCTCAAGGCCTGGACTAGCAAAGACATTAAAAAGATCAGGCATGAGTACATTTTCAGAGTAACCACGCTTCACATATCAGTAACCAAGCTTCCGGGCAGCATGAAACCATGTTAGGAGAACTGAGAAATAAATGTTTACTAGACTCTGGCTCAGTCAGCAGAATCAGACCCATTTTTCCATCAAAAGGCAGTGTGGTTTCATGGACAGCACAGCCATAACAACAAAACTGCTGTTCCAACTGATAGTGACCAAAACAGCAAAAGCGGAGAAAAAAAAAAATGCTGCAAATATAGCAGAACTGACTGAGATTCTCGAGTTCTTTTACCTTTTCTCAAGCTCCTATCCCAGCCCAGGCAGAGACCCTTGCCACTTTGTCAGTGTTGCATTAAAGCCCTTTCAGTTGTCAGGCTCTGCCTCCTAAACAGAGCCAGGATGTGCAGAGGGAGGACAACAGAGGTGTTTCCATAAGGAACGTTTTCAGTTTTTATGCTCTGAATAGGGACTGCAGATACAAGTTTGCACTGGCAGTTTCAAATGAAGTTTTATCATATAATTTTGCCCTTGTGACCTGATACTCTTGTCTTCTGGCAGTTATCAGAGAGTTGTCTCTACTCAGACCTAAGGTTCCAGATCTTTAGAGGTGAGTTTCTCACACTCACTTTCTGAAGGGGTAGACACCAAGAAAGTAGTTGCATACTGGTACTCCTCTTTGTGCCAGCTGAGTATCTACTCTTTACACAGGTTAACTTAGGAGAAACTGAACACCAAAGACAGGCAAGGAGGTACGATGCTTTTATCTCCTCCCAGGTCTCTGGCATAAATGCTATGTTTAGCTAGGCAGTAAGTTTGGAGGTCTCAGAGGTCTAATTAAGACAGATTCATAGACCCTTATTGCATTTAGCTCCTCGGGTGCACGTGAGGGTAAGAAGAGCAATTGCACAGTGGGAACGAAAAACATTCAAAAGCTCTAAGCAACAGCAGGGTGAAACCAGAAGGCAAACCCCAGAAGCTGGAGGCCATTAAATGCAGGAGGCTAACTGCCCCTGCTTCCCAAGAAGCAGACAGGTTCATCAGCAGGTCAACTTCCCAATCTAGACAGCAGGCAACTGCCATGGGAAACCACCCAGTGGCAAACTCTATAGTCGCTGGTTACAGCTGCTGCACTCAAGAGGGACTTCGATGGTAAGGTGAACAAAGGAGAGATGCCCTGCTGGTCTCCCGCATCTGCAGAGAGAAGGGGTCAACACTAACACAGACACAGCTTGCATGTGCCTCTTCTATTAAGAGGGGTACAGATAAAACCAAACATCTAAAACGTGCAGGCATAAGCATACCACTGATATTGTTATCTAGGAAGCAAAGGTTATAAGCTCTTCTCGTAACTGCACAGTCCACCCCTTCCCTTTGGGGGCAGAGTTTATGCGAACACTTTGCAAAGACCCAGCAGAGCATTAACCAAATACTGCATTTCTGTGCCTCAGCTTGACCCAAACATAATAGCTTGTAGCTACCAGTGACTAAAGTCAGCGACAGAGAGGAGGGCAGGGAAGGGAAGGCCATTTCTTTTTACTGCTTCTGTTCTTCTGAAATTACAACCGTCACTTCTAAGAACTGTTTACTTTTTCTGGTATCTCAATAATCTCCCTCGCTACATCTCCAGTCCAAGCCCATGGCAACTACTTCCAAAGCCAGGTATTCTTATACTACAGAAAGTCACATACAGTACAAAAATGGTTGCTTATGCTTGCAACTGCTTTAAAAAAACACTCTTGGTGAGGCATTTGGTGAGAGAGGAAAAATGTCGTCACTAAGGCAGATATAAATAGGTAATTTCTAATGAGTAAGACACCAGGCAAATTATAAATACTAAACATTTATTATTTTTTCTCATCAGAGGGTTGCAAGATTCAATTTCAAACAACAGGGCAAGGTCTTTCATTGCTGTTGGGATCTTGTTTTGTTTCTTTCAAGGGGAAAGAAAGAACAATGAGAAACTGGTATAGAGATACTACCAGAAGCAGTGCAAATTTAGATCATTCTTTCTTACCTTCACCATCCCAGTGCTGAATTGCCAAGCTAAGCCCTTCTCAGTTAAATAAAGTCTACTTCAACATCATCCAGTTTCTTGTACATCACTGAACAAGAATCACAGCTCCCCTTCTTCTTTCACCCTTCCCCTACAAGAACATACCTAGAATAGTGACAGCCTTGTAACAACAGTAAAGCCTGGAGAAAGCTAACATGGTGACACTTTATAAACATTAAACCTGAACAGAATGAAAATTAACAAAATTTAACCTTCATGATCAGCCGTGCATAGTGCAGAGATATCCAATAATGCAGCTCACCAGCATTGTTTTTCCAGCTTCCTGTCACAAGTATATTTTACACATCCACAAAAAGACGAAAGAGGAAAATCATATAATCCAAGAACACTTGACTTTCAGTTTTAAACTAAGGCAGGCAAGCTTTTAGACAGGAATTACCGACATCTTACGAAAGTCCGTCATTATATATCTGGGAATGGGAGGCAAGTCTTGCCTTGTAACAATTGCTCACAACGGGCAAAAAAGATTCATTAGAACTACCAAAAGCCAACAGGACAGTTGACACCAGCAGCATCCATCGCCTTCTGTACTGGCATTGCTTACACAGCTGCGCAGACTGAAGTTGGCACATGCAACATCCCATCATTTCTGTGATCTTGTCTCAAGTAGAAGGTAGTTGCTGTGGCTTCTGGGTCCATGGCTTCCCTCCAGCAAATACATTAGAATGTGATGTTTGCAAGACCTATGTGAAAAAAAAGGGGGATGAGGGGGGAGAAACAAGTGTTTAATTTTTATACCACCTGTACTTTGCTACTATGAGGACAGTTAGACACAGGAATAAGGATGTTTTGAGAATTTTTTTTTTTTTTTTTTTACTTAAATGTAAGGGATTTGGCGGGAGGACGGGAAACTAGGAAACAGGTTGACCTGTACTTTGTTAACCCTTTTTTGACTGTGATGTAGCAATTAATTTAAATAAGCCACTCTGAAGGAGTACTGAAGTTATTCATGGCAGAAGGAACAACACAGAGGCTGCTGATGAACCTAAGGGTCTGCCCATGAAACTGAAAAGAGAAAGCTGGAGAAAGTACCGTTAATGAGGGCAGTAAACTCACACTGGACAAACTGCTTTAGATTAAGGCATATCCATGCATTAGACATTTGATCATCTCCTTTGAGATTTGTCTTTTTTGACTTGACTTCTAAGATACACTGCATCACTTAAATTCAGGTCCCAAAATTGTCCTAAATATTTCTGTAATCACAGCAAAGAATAATGCTGGAGATCCCAGGAATACTGGCTACTATGAACAGGTGAACTTTTTTGGCCTTAGCTCCTCTAGAAATAAGTTCTGTCTTACAGTCATCACTTTTTAGCAATAAGAAATCAAATGGAAAACGTGCATTTCTGCAGCTCAAAACTGCTGAAGCTGTAGGATTGCTGTAGATGTGCAGACACCACAAGGTAGCATCTCTGTCACAGCAGCAGCAACAGGGTATTGAAGATCTAGTTTTACCAGCTGTACCAGATGCTTTGCTACTCAGTCTGGCTGCACAGCTTCAGCAGAGATTACATCTATTCCCATTTGCTAGGGAACAGCAAATAAAATTTGTTCTTGAATACTGCTTTGTTAGGAGCAAAGGAAGGGCGGAGAAGGAGAAGGGGAGGAAAAAGATATAAACTGGCAGGTATAGAAGTTTTCTGGAAAGACTAAATTCCCTGAAACTGCAGACAGAAGTAGAGATAAACTGTATCTGCAACAGAGTTGCCTTTCTAATTTGGAAAAATAATGGTTGAAGACATCCATCCTTCACCCAAATCACAACTCTTTTGATTTTATTATTTCTTAAGCAGCAGCAACATACATAATGTTACATAAAGCATAAATCAAGTCCCTCTGTTTCAAAGAAGTTCCAGTCTAGGAGAGACAGAAGTTTAAGAACAAAAGGAACATTTAAAAGAGTTAACTTCAGAGGGAATTTTTTCTCCCAGGAGAAAGTAGCGTGGAAAACTTAAGTCTCGGATGTAAATGGGGACAGTGCAGAAAAAGACTGAGCTAAGTAACACAAATTTATTTTTATGTTGTCAGGACACTGTGATTTCATATGCCATGTGCCCACATGGCACTTAACATGCATAGGATTTGTAAACATTTCAATTGGTACTGATAGTATAAAGCAGGCAGTTATTCCAAGTAACCTATATGGCATCTTTCAGTATAAAAATTTTAACTCCCCTGCACTGGACAGGTTTCCTGTTGGACAACTCAGATACCCATACAAACCCTCCAAAGGCTGTGGAGAAACAGTCATGAGACACCACCTGGGAGGTGTTCACAGCCCCAACGACAACAGGGAAGGAGGCCCCATTCCCGAGACAGGATACTTCTATCACACATCTGGTGTGATAGTCCCAGTCTTTCCACGTAAGATTTCAATGTGAAGGGTCGCCTCCTAGATGTTGGAGAACATTACCCAGATTACTGCCGTCCTTTGAAGCCCAGCAGATGCAGTAGTGCTGCATTAGTTGTTCAAACAGTTCCTTTTCATCTAGGAATTCAAGTTCTTCTATTCTGTAGGAACGAAATAAAAACTGTGATTCAAGCTAGAGTCTCAGTACAGTTCTTCATGTACTCTTCTTCATTCCACAGGAGTGAAAACTCTGGCCAATAAGGCAGTTACCTTTCTAGTAAATTAATACGGGTATTTGTCCATAATGAAGATACCACCACTACTCCTAGCCTTTGTTGCCAACGTATGAAACAAGGGACCCACAAGATATTTTCACCTTCTAATCCCTGGAATTTCATGTTCCAGGATCAATCTGTGTAAATTCTCACAAATACCAGTATTTCTCTTCTAACCACTTTTACTGCACGTATGCTGGATTTAAGTAGACACAATAGTACTGTCACCGTTTAAGGCTGGGCTGGCAATTAAAGCGGGTGGCAGATGCTCTCTATTAGCCCCTTCCTTTCCCAGAAGGGGAAGGAAAGGAGAAAAGGGAGAGAGACTTATGGGTTGGGAAATTAACACAACTTTAATAAACAATAACAATGAAAAAGAGTATAATAATACTAATAGTAATACTACAAATAATAGAACTAAAAATACACAAAACCAATATTGAGCTTTGGGATCGAGTCAGTGGTGGCTCGCACAGCTGACGTGGCAGGGCAGGCACCAGGATGTCCCACACTGGACTCTGCAGCAGATGGGAACCAGACTAAGGAAAGCACAGATTGGGATCAGAGGCAGGAGAATAAGCAGAGTCCCACAACGATGCCAGTCATGAAAGAAGGGGCCAAGCCCTGTCATCCCTTAGCTTTATACCGAGTATGACATGTATGGGATGGAATACTTTGTTAGTCAATATTTGGTCACCTGTCCCTTCTGCACTTTCCAGCAGATGTGACCCTTTTATGTCTCTTCACTTGTGGACCATAAGAGAGTCCACAGTGACCTTGGTTCCCACAGGAATAAGTACAAACATGGGCCTTTCTGCATACCAATCCCACCGTTACCTTAGTAACAACTATAAATGTCAAGCGTTATCAATTCTAAAAGCAGACACTGTCTGAAAAACATGCAGTCAACTTCAGAAAGTGCAGTTAATTAGAGGAAACTTAACTGAAGGAAAATCTACTGAAAGGAGAATTGATCCTGTTTTAGTCAAAACCAGGACAAGTACAGCCTAACAGAAAGAGATTTATCGTTACCAAAGGATTACAGTGAACAGCTGAAGATAGTATTTTCTCCAGAAAATCACAAGTCCGTATTATGTCTTGGAAGAGTGATGGGTACACCAGTGCAGCTTCTAACAACTTTCCCACATGAGCTCATGGTGAAGCACAAACCAAATGGTACATATAAGATCCGAGGATTTTTTTTTCCTGAAATCGTTTCTACTTAGCATTCTTAAAACAGGATCTTTGATTATCTTCAATCAAACAAATAGAAGAACTTCTCCCAAGCTGTGCTTGCTTTAAGAAGTTTAACCTGGCACATTCCTCTCTCTCACTCTAGATTACTTAAATCTCAGTGTTTATCTTCCAAGCTAAATATTTGGAAGGGCTGCTACTGAGGATCAAAAGAGGCTGAGGGGCAAAAATTCCTAAATACACTCACAGATGTGCAAGTGCGGCAGAAGAACATTTTCATAAAGACTTTTATAAATAGAAATCATTAATACTGAAGGACAGAGTTTATGTAACCTGTTTCTTGGCATTTGGAACAAGTGGAAGAAGCTGAACAGACCTAAGGTAGTCATAAATGCTGCAAAAAAAGTACAAGCTATGTCTCTCTGCAAGTGCCATATGGTATAATCACACAGTCATCGCTCCTATTTAAACAACCTATGATTTTCAGTCTCACCTGTTCAGTTCCATGGTTTGAGAAATCTCCATATGTGAATACTTATTTTGACCAAGGTAACTTGTTCAGCTAATTCAAACTATAGTTAATGAATGACTCAGACCAATTCACACTTTATATTATATACTTAAGAAGTTACTATTTAAAAACAGTTTCCCCCTTTTTAGCTTTTCTTTAACGCATAAAATTTAACAAAATCCATGCAGGTTACTGACTGTTGTAACAACCTTTAGTTATACCCTCTATGTATGAAGCTCTGTCCACAGACCCAGCAGTCTAGCTCATGAAGATGATATGAATGGAAGATGCACCTATCTGTTGAGAGACAGTCACACGATGCTGTCGGGCACATCTCTCCTCTCTCCCTCTCTTTGCTTGCATAGTACAATAATAGGTCATAGCACTAAATTACTGCCCTGTCTTGGCTCATTACCTAAACGTGCTGCCAAGGAAGAAGGGAGGGAAGATCAGGATTGCTCATTTTCCACCCACTTGGAGTAAAAATGCAAACGGATAAGTTACCTTACCTAGACCTACAAGACTGGAGCAAACACCTAGCTGTCACCTCCCTTGGGGACTTGAAAAGTGGCTGCCTGTTCTGAGTGTATTTTAGGACTCCACTCCACTCATCTAGTGTTGTGGAGGCTGGATGTTCACAAGGAACATCTTAGGTACTGTAAAAACTCAACACAGCATTTCTGTAGCATCTTTTATCTGCAAATTTCTGTCATCACACCCAAATAAAACATCACCACTGCCAGTCTACTCCCGGCAGCAATAACCCTCTGCATCATTAGTGTTGCTCCAGGCATTATCCTTAAGGCTCTGCAGAGCTTCGGACTCAGACATGTTCTGTCTATCCAGCTAGCATCGGCACGCAGCCTCCTCTGTTATACTAGGGGATTCCACACTACATATTGACGTGAACTACCTTGGAAATGGCATCTGAAGATGACTTTTGGTCTCAAGCAAGCTATCAGTAATACCTTTTGACATCAGCCTGTGGCAAAAAGCTGTACACTTTCATCATATCAATGGCACGTGCAGTTTCCCAGCCACTTAACAGCAACCGTTCCCTCTGTAAAATAAACAAGCAGCATAGTTTTCAGAGGACTCGAGGAAAAATACCAGAGAACAGTTTTTCCCCCCTAAGGATTTTGTAGGTCATTTGCTAGACCTGTTCTTTGAAGAGCTCTTACACTCTTTTCCAAGCATCTGCCGCTAACCTCTGCGCAGAGAGGACAGTGGGACAGATGGAGCTGTGCTCTGATCTACTGCAGTTTTTGTACAACTATCAAAACCAAGTGGTATTGAGCAACCATGGCATTCATAACAGGGAACCACCATAACACGGATAGGAAAGGGTTTCAGTAGGTAGCAGCTGCCCCACCCCAAAGCTGCTTTGGTCACTGCTCTGAGCCTTACAGTGCACACACTGAGACAGAACTTGCAGACAGATTGATTAATATCAAACACATCCAGAGCTCTGTGCCCCTTTTACCTGAGAGTCTAAGGATCTGCAGACTTCCACTCCAGCCAGGTTACACTGTCGTCTCTGCAAATTCTCAATCATGATCTGTCCAAACCGGTCCGTCATATTCACCTCAGGTAGAGAATGAGACAAAAGTGTTCCCCCTTCCGAAAAGAATGTAATCGCAGTGAAACGCAGTAACTTGGTTAAACTCTTGTATTGTCTATGTCATAAAATGCACAGGATAACATTAAAGTAAGTTTCACATTCTTACACTAGGTCTCATTTCCCACTGCCACAATCTCCTCAGTTACCCCATGCTTACAAGCCGAGTCCTAGTTCAATGGTGACAATGCTACTGCCTTTACAGACACGGGGACTGGGCACTGAAAACTGACTCTGCTTTAAGTTGTCGGCAACGTGGTTCAGCTCTCCAGCAGTGATTTACAGCTTGGAAGATCCTGTTACTAATTCCTGGAGCCACCTAGCTCCCCCGAGGCAGTATTTTACTTCCCTGCAGAGAAGTCAAGTTCATGCTAATGTGATTTTTGCTCCACTTTGCCAAAGAACACAGAGAAGTAATTATGGAATGTTATACTATCATATCCAACATTCAGCATCATTTCTTTTTCCTCTGTCTTAACTAAACCAATCTTCTATGGTTTTCCCCACATATAGATTAAGTCTCAGTTATTTTGGTTCAACATAGTCCAGAAATTGTCTTTCAGAATAGCTGTATGCTCTTTACAACGCGTTAACCGATTTACAAGACAAAACACATTACTAAAGAAATTCAGCAGAAACTGCTGTCTCTACAAAAGGACATGGCCTTCTATTATTCTACAAGCAGAACTCCCACTTTTGTCAGCAATTTTTATGACAATAACGCAGGTCTAAAAATGCCATTTTTGTTTTACCTGCTCATAATTTATAAACATCGCCACTGGAAAAGTGCTTGCTGCCCACTTTAAAAGATTGGCAGATTGCTGCGGTGTCATGTAAACCAGCACACACTCCGCTACCAGAAGCGTTGGTAAACTTTAAAACAAAAAAAACAAGAGAACTATTTCTAGCAAAAGAACAAGAAAAATCTGTAAAGAATCATTAGCAAGCAAGTAATTTCATGTCCCCAAAATTTCTTAAAAGAGCTACCCTTTTTATGAACTAGACATTTAAGACTGAATGAAAACACTTCATCAAGTGGACTAGAACTGGGTTTTCTGGCAGTTGATGAATTAACCACAGGGGACTCCCATGGTTACAAAACAGAGCTATTAGGAAACAATCTCCCTTAAGTCAGCCATACTATGAACACAGAAGGAGCTGTATTCTGTAAGTCTTCTCTGAACTGTGATAGCATGAACTGAAGCGCATATTAAAATTAATTTTGCAGAAGAATTACATCCTATATACACAATCTGCACTCTTTTAAGAGATCAGTAAAATTAGGAATAAAATACAAATTGAAAAAAAAATGTTTTCTCTTTAAAAAAAGTTCTAAGAGGAATTTTAATTAGACAAATTCGTTCAATATCTGTAAAATAAGCTTCACATATTACCATCTAACGAAACGCAATCTACAGTTTGCACATTGCCTTTTCCCCCTCCGTTCACAAACCCCCCAAAATAGACATCTACACGACTAATTGTCCTTAGAATTATGGAGTTTTCTTTTAATTGCTAGAATGAACAGGAAAAAGAAAAGTCACTAGAAGCAGGAGAAATTCCACGAGGAGCAGCAACGTAGGCAAGTAAAGCAAGATTTCAGAAGATGGAAGGGTAACGATTTAAATGGCAATTTGATGCATTCTGCTTACCCATATGCTCTCTCCCACCCAGCCAGATAGCTGCTATTTATATATCTTATATTTGAAAGGTATGTCCATCATCCACTCTAAAAACTTAAATCCTGTCCCCTCCAGAAGCCTAATGTTCAAACAATAAAATCCCAGATATTAGCTTCTGGAGTTAAGTTCTCAAAAGACTCCATGGCAATCACTTTACCAAAAGGTCTAAGCAACAATAGTGGGGTTAAGCGGAGGGAACAGAAAATAACTACAAAGTTGAAACTCTGAAATAATTTAACATTGACAGAATTATTCTTCATTTTACCAGCTAAGCTCCCAGAAATCTTGACTCATACAGCTCTTACAACAGGGGTGAAAAATGTTCACTGATCTAGGTACTGCTCACTAGTCAGCATTAAAACTAAATGCACCTGAACCAACTCTTTAAAAAAAGCAATTTATGACATTTTTATACATCTCTAGTTTAGAGATTCCCGATGAATAACTTATGATTCTATTAACTAAATTTCAACCAAATTCAAGCACGAGGTAACTCTTTTAGAAATCTCTAAGAGAGTTAACTTCATGAAGTAGAGAAAGAAAACTCGTATGAGCTCCAAGGCAGAAAATGGCTGCTGCGGGAACTCATCCCCTCCAGGGCAAGGAATGGGGGGAAGTGAGAGGGAATTACAGCTGCCTGCCCTGCAACAAGAGCTTTAACTTGTGCAAAAGGATCATATACTCCAAAGAGAACCAATCACCAGAAACACATTCACAGAAAGCTATACTTCACTCCCCGCATCATTTTAAGAACAAGAAGCAAATAGTTCTGTAATGTTTGATCTTCTCAGGAAGGACGAAAACACACTTTACAGAATATACTACGCAATGAACAACCTTGCTTCAGATTTGGAACTACCAAGCAGTCACAGCAATGCCAGCCTGCTTGGCTCAGTGAGGCTGCATGAGGTGTCTGAACAATTCCTTCTGCTCAAAGGGCTCAGGAAAAGGTAACCATGGAAATAGCATAATGAGCACTGGATGCAGATACCGTATGCCCAAGTCTGACTTTACTCTCACGAGTACAATTCCACAAGCCCTCAAAAAAAAAAAAAAAATCCTTACTCTATGTCCAGGTTATGTTTCTTTAGCTTTTCCTCCAGATCCGATGAGAAACGGAGATCTGCTCCTACTATGGAATATCGACTGGAGTCTAGGCTGTGAGAATCTGCAAGTTTAAAATTTTGAGAGACTAATGGTTACAAACAAGAGGGATAGTGAAATTATAAATTAAAAAAAAGAAAGACACAGGAACATATGAATTTGAAGTCAGTTTGATCTGTTCTGCCTAACAATTAACAGCAAACTCTTCTTTTTAAAACATCAATTTCCCTTATACCTGATTGTTGTGCTTTACAGAAGGTGATATATTAGCATCAGACTCTGCAACAAGCCTATTCTTTTGCTCTGGAGCCACTCAAATGCAGATAGGTTATCCCATCCGTTACCATGGTTTCAAGGAATGCAGAGAGAACAAAAATCTGAAGATTAAAGGCAGGGTTTTTGTTTTGTTTGTAGAGTCTTTTTAGATGACCCAATATATGTACATAAGGAACTACATTAAAAAAAAGTACATCAATTTCTGACAAACTAAGTTAAGAGTAACAATATTCCAAATATTAACAATAGATATAGCTATATAAATTAACAATACATATAGCTATGTAATATATATGGGCATCAGATACAGATTTGGAGGCCAAAAAAGTTATCATTTCGTCTTTTTGTATCATCTAGTGATGGTATTTAAGTGTAGAGTCAAATTAGAAAAGGTATTCTGAGAAACAAACATTCACCCTGGAATACAACAGGCAGCAAGCTCCTGTAAATGCTTTTCAACATGAAGGAGGAACTAACACTAATGTCAAAAGACACTTTGTCATACTAGCAAAACTGTAAGGAAGCCAGCAGCAACATGAGCATCTTGCTATCAATAACTCTGACAACTAGTTGCAACCAATTCAACTAGATGAGTCCAGTCCCCATAGAAAGTATTTTGCAAGTACAGTATCAAACCCAGTTAAAGACGTAAAGTTCTGCGGGAATATATCAGATTGCTCTTTCATGCTTTAGCTCCACTAGCGTGAAGTCATTAGGACAGTATAACACATAATTTTCCCCTCTTACCATTTGAGTGCGACAGAGCAAGCAGTAAAATAAGTAAGCTAAACAGTGGGAAAAAAACCCAGAGTGAGAGTTTAAAGTGGTCTAGTGATGGCCAGCCAACACCCATCTGCAGCAGCAAGCTCTGGCACAGCTCCATTTGGGATCCTGCTGCAGACAGACACAGCTCCTGAATGGTAATACGGGCGCAGATGTCAAGAGCTAGCTGAAGAGGAAAGAGAAGCCAAGTGGCTGAAGAGACAGGACGAAAGGGGTTTTCCATTTCAAGAAAGGGAAAAAAAAAAAATGGGGGGGAGGCAACTTATTAAATTAAGTAGTGCTTCAAACATTCTGGAAGATGTACCTCCAGTTAGTTTTCAAGTGACCAACTGTTTGAAAATGGCACTAGCAAGTGACAATAGCTGTCTTCCAAGAACATTTCTGCACAGATACAGAAACCAGAACAGTTCATGCAGAGAGTTACAGGGTGAAAAAAGAAGGGGTGGGGG